GCCCTCGGCCCTCCTGGGCCTGCCCCTCCGCGCCGGCAGCACCGAGGTGAGTCCCCTCTCGGCCGCCCCGTCCTCCGCCCTCGCGACCCCTTCCCCGGGGCGCGGCCGGCCCTCCCGTCGGGGCTTGCTCGAGCTGGGCGCGGGCGGGAGACAGCCGGACGAAGGGGCGTCCGACGCTCCCGGGTCGGCCAGCGGGAGAGGGCACCCCCCGAGCCCCCTCCGGCAAGTCTGCCGCCCGGCCCCTCCTCGAGCCGGCAGGCAGCCCCCAGCCTCGGGTTCCCTCAACTCCGCTGCCCGGTGGTCAGTCCTACTCGCAGCCCTCCATTCCCCGAGGCGCCGGCCCTATCGAACGCCCTCCAATCCAGAGGTCTTGAGCCTTGATCTCGTCGTCTCGGGTTCTCCCCAGCCCCGCGGTCCCTGGTGATCCCCACCTCAGCCCCGCAGCCCCGGCCCGGGTTCGACGTGGCAGGCAGCGTGCGCGGTGTCCCGGGTGCGCGGAGGTGGCTCCCTTGCCCGAGGGGTCGGGCTGAGGAGCCCGCTGTGTGGCTTATCTGGGGAGAGGTGGGACGACGTTCCCGGGCTCCCGGGAGAGCGCGGGGGTGGGTCTTGGGGGCCGGAGTGCTTGGGGGCCGGAGTCTTCTTGTGAAAACGGCCTCTCGGACTTGGACAGCTCTCTTGGCTCTTGGGAGCAGCCTTGGGACTTCGGGTCCGCCTCGGCCTCGGCACCTGTCGGGGCCTCTGCGGGACCGTGGGGAGGGAAGGAGAGGGCGCGCCCGGTCGGTGATGGAGGGGCGCGAAGGAGCCCTTAGCCGCCGCTCTTGGTTTGGGGGGCGGAGGCCCGGCCTCAGCACCTGGCTCGGCTCCGGCCGACACGCTAATCCCGACAGGTCGGGCAGGCACATCCTTGGTCCCGCCCCCCGCCCGCGATTCTTCTGCCCCCGCCTGCCAGCCTGCCGGGCGGCCAAAACTCCCCGGCCTGTAGCCGGTCCTGGGGAGGGCTCGTGAGGAAGTATCTGGATGGTTTACATTTTGGGGTCTGTATCTGGCCCCGGACACGTCCATCCTGATGGTGTTGCAGGCAAGAAGTACCAGTCCATCCTGATGGTGTTGCAGGCAAGAAGGTGAAAGCTATTCCAGCTCTCGGCTGGGACTGAGTCCCGCCTCCGGCTCCACCCCCGACTGTGTCCCCCTCCTCAATCGGTGTCCGCCTCCACCCATGTAGCCCCTCTTTTTGGTCTCCCACCCCAGCTCTGCCTCAGGCCCCAGCCCCTTCCCCATCTCCCCAGGACCACTCCCCAGGCCAGGCCGTGCCCTGCACTGCTCAGCGCTCTGCCTGTCCTTCCCGTCCCAACGCCCGTCCTAGGTAGCAAACGCCGGTTGGTTACTGATTGACTCTGAATCCTGAGACCCTTAACCTCTCAGAACCAGGCTCTCCGAACCTCTCTCTCCCTGCAAAATGGGGCGAATGCTGCCTTCCTCCTCCAGGTGTGAGGAGTAAATGAGGACCCAGAGCAGGGCAAGGGGGTAGCAGGTGCCTGTAAGTGAGAATCCCTCACCTCCACCCTGGCAGGGAGAAATGCCCTTTCTTATCCCCACTGATGCCCTAGGCACTGCCCGTGGTTCCCATTCTATCCCTAAAGAGTAATGAGACACAAAAATAAACTCCCTGTGCCTTCCAGCACAGGCCAGAAAGGAATCCGGCAGGAGGAACTAGGAGAGACACGAAGCAGGCTCCTTCAAGGGTGGTCATCAGCTGCCAGCTCCTCTCAGCCCTCGTCCATGTTGTCTGTGTCTGCAAGTGTGTGCGTGCATGTGTGTGTGTGTGTGTGTGTGTGTGTGTGTGTGTGTGTGTGTGTATGCAGGGGCCCGTGGCCCTCTGGTGTTTCATACTGCAGGGTTCCTTGTCCAAGACCTGTCCAGCATTTAAAATCAGATTTCACATAAGATCCTGTATTTTCCGCTTCTCTTTTGAAGACTCAGAAGACCTGGCAACATTGAGCCATTATTTCTGCCTGTCGACACTGGGCTGGGGTTGAACTGTTCATGCTCCCTTTAGATGGGGCGTTTGCCCTCCCATTTGGCCCCTCCACATCCAGCTTCACTCATATGTGTTGTTTGGACCCCTGGTGTAGGTGAACTTATAGCTCTTAAGCTGGGTTGGTTCTGTATGTATTTTTTTTTTTAAGTGCTTGAAACTCTGCCCATTCCAGCATCCCAGAGGTGAGGGCGGCCAATGTCACTTGGTTCTGTAAAATTCACATCTGGATCCTCCTCACAACTTCACAGCTGAGAGTGTGGTTCCTGACGATTCAGGTGCTTGGGCCAGAAGGTCGTCACTGGCAAGGACTGGGTGAGTGTGGCAAGGGTCATGCTGAAAGCTTGGAGGGGGAGTTTAGAGGCAGGAAGAAAGAGGGAGAGGAAAGGAGTTAGCATTGGCCAAGCTCTAGCCCCGATTTGCCAGGTGCCATGGCGGGCGGGTATCAGGAGTGCAGAGATGCATAGTGACCTTTTCTGCCAAAGGACCCCAGGGATACTGATCACAAGTGAGATGAACTTCTCATAGACCCAGGGTTCACACCAGGTGTGTCTTCTCCAGTGTGTGTCAAGTGTAAGGATTCATGGAATAGATCTGCCAGGGATCCTCAGACTTCATTTTTAGAAATGCTGCAATCCAAAGTTTGAGAAATGCTGCAATTAAGAATTGAGTGATCACTTTGGTGCCAAGGCAGTCAACCATAAATATAAGTGCAAATGTGGAGATTGTGTAACCGTGCTCAGTATTAAGATTAGTGCCCAAAGGATACAGAAAACAATCTTATTGTTTTTTAAATGACGTTAGAATGTAGACACAAAATGAAGCCTTGGCCATAAGAAATGTAACAAATATTATTGCATCATCACCATGTGCCCAGCACCATTCTAAGCAGTTTTATGTATTAACTCATGTAAGTTTTTTAAAAAAACAGCCTTCTTGTAGATAAGGAAAAAGGCTCAGACCAATGAAACAACTAACCCAAGGTAGCACAGCTAATAAATAGCAGAGTCAACATTTCAAGCTGGGCAGTCTGACTCTGAAGGTTATACCCTTTAACCATCCTGTTGTGTAGTAGTCTCTGAGACTGTATGCTTGGAGCTGAAGACCCCATTTTGATAAACTCAGTTGGACATCCACAGTTGGTGGGTGATAGAAGTGCACCGTGGCAGCTGCGGGGGATGGAAAGGCCTTGGCAGGTCACGCAGGGAGTCCTGGAGGGACGCAGAGGGGTTGGCAGCTGATGGGCATTTGGGGGTGGCTGGGGGCATCTCCGCTGGATCCGGCCACAGCGCCAGGTGGGATCCATCAGCCTCATGTAAACACTTCTCACAGGCAGCTTAACCACTTGAGTGTGTCTGGCCTTCAAAGCTGGTAAGAGAGGCCAAGGAGGGAAGTACTGAACTCCCTTAGGGATAATGATTTATCTCCCATGCAGGTGGGCTCCACTGGGGCCTCCCTGAGAGGCGAGGGAGTGGACTGGCACTGAAGAGCCTAGAGGGGAAAGGGTTAGGATGGGGCAGGGGGTGGGAACCTCCACTCCAGCATCTCAGATTTCTCATTTGTAAGCCCGAACTCAGCTGGCTCTCAGAGCAAGTCTGTGAAATAAGCATGCTTTATCCCCATTTGAGAGACAAGAAACTGAGGTTCAGAGGGGCCAAACGACTTATCCAGAGGCATCTAGCCAGCATGTGGGAAGGCAGTGCCTCCCTGGCATCTGCAGAACTTCCTGTGCTGCAGCCCAGCTCGCTGTCCGTTGTCTCTGGTCCCTGCGCATAGTGGACGGGTGTGCGGGCAGGTGCGGGCATGTGTGGGCGGGCCTCTGCTGTGGAAGTATGTTGGGAGCACTGGGGCGTGCGTGTGCGAGCTGGCCAGTGGGAAGCAGGGTTTTCATTCTCTCTCCCAGGTTGGGCACAGATATCTAACTTCCCAGACACATCTCATCAGGGGAGGGACCGGCTCCCCTGCCCCCATCACCCCAGCCGGCCAGCGGGTCCAGAGACCTGGCTCTCGCTGGGCTGGGGGATTATCCCCATTCTCTGTGTCTCTGGCCAGGGCGGGCATTGCTGCCTCTTTTATCCTCTCACAAAGGCCAGGCCCGCCGGGCCTGCTGTGTCAGAGTTTCTGTGGCCGGGGGAAGCCTTACTTCCTTTTCTCCCGCCAAGCCCAGAGGGCCACGCAGAGTCTGCCAGCTTGCCGGGGGCCACTGCTCTAGCTCCAGGACAGGTGAAAGGCACATGGGTGACTCAGCACTGGGAAGAGAAGGCTGAGGGGTCACTCATGGAAGGACAGAGAGAGAGAGCTCCTCTTCAAGAGACAGGATATTTCTGCAGCATGAGGTCTGTAGGGTAGACTTAAAGGAGGACTTCCAGTCAGAGCTGGACAATATTAGGCAGGGCTAGGGCCAGCTGACTGCCATTACTGAGAAATCAGTGATCCACAAGTTTGATTTGAGTGTTCATCGTATTCTGGCTACTCAGGAGGCACTTGGAGTCCCAGATTAGGGAATTCTGCAGGACAGAAAAGGGAGCAGATTTCTTCAAGAAGGACGCTAGGTGGTACCTTGTAATCCAAACATTCAGTTTCCTGGATAGGGAACCACATGGGAAGTGGGGAAACATAGGTTTTTGGGAGGGGCACAGTACCACAGAATTAACCCTTCTCTCTCCTCCTCCCACAGGTTGGTTTTTGGAGTAGTCCCTGCTGAAGTGACAGAGAGATCTCCCATGTGACACCCCACGGTGCCTTTGAGGAAGGCTCTCTTTGAAGACCTCCCTTTGAGCTGATGGAGAACTGGGCTCCCCACACCCTCTCTGTCCCCAGCTGAGATTATGGTGGATTTGGGCTACGGCCCAGTCCTGGGCCTCCTGCTGCTGACCCAGCCCCGGAGGCGTTAGCAAGAGCCCTGTGCAGTCCACCCTCCCAGAGACCACCCCTCCTACCAGGGGCCTGGAGCTGGCGTGTGACTATGCGGCTTGGGCTGTGTGTGGTGGCCCTGGTTCTGAGCTGGACACACCTCGCCATCGGCAGCCGGGGCATCAAGGGGAAGAGGCAGAGGCGAAGTGAGTAATGGGACGGGGCGGGGCCACTGCTGACCTTGGGAGTGGGAGGGGGCCCGGGACTAGGGGCCTTCAGGAGCGTTATTCTGTGATGCCCCTCGCAGATCTCTCCACCGTCTATGACAGTTTTGTAGATTACTCAGTAGTCGATCTTGTTTGTGGATTATCCAGTTGGTGAATTAATTTGTTGCAATTACCCACTCTGTAGACTACTCACTTCCTCTGTTTTCCCCTTTGTAGACTCTGCTTTCTAGATTAACCCCTCTCTTGCAAGAATCCAGTTTGTGGATTACGCCTTTGTGGATTACGCCCTTTGACATAACAGCAGCTTTGTGTGGTATCCATGGAGATGCCTCCATAGCCCCCTGTCCTGGGCTCCTTTCTTTCCGTGGTGGCCATGGTATAGCCCTCAACCCCTTTGGGCTGGGGACTGCACAGCTTGGCAGGGAGGAATGGGGATTCCCCGCCCAGATTGTGGGACAGGAACTGTGGAGTAGGGAGGGTGGTGAGACTGTCCTCCCCACCACCCGTGGCTTTTAAATCTTGCCCAGTGGGATTCAGGGGGCCACAGTGGAAGTAAAGGGGAGGCAGGCAGACAGGGGTCTGGTCTTTACACCCCCCAAGCCAGAGCAGTTTCCCTTTACCCTGCTCTTGGTAATGCTCTTCCACCTAAGATGTCATTGGAAGAAAGCTCAAAAAGAAAAATTAAATCCTGTCATTGTATAGCTGCTAAGAAATGGGAAGAAACGGGCGTTAGGATACACAGTCGATGCTGGAACTCAGGTCCCCTAAAGCCTGTCAGTCCAGTTTTCTTGAAAGCTGAGTGTGACAGAGGTCAAGATTAACCTGTCCCCCGCCCCTCTCTAGGCACTCCTTGGCCTCTGCCTAATGTCACCGGGGATGGGGCTGTGGGAGTGGTCGCTGTGTGAGAGGGACCCATGCTAGGGAGAGGACAGGGGGCGGGGGGGGGCTCCAGACACCTCCCATAAAGAGATGCTGCGCCCGCAGGCAGGAGGTCTTCCTGAAGTCTAGCCCCATGACCTCTTGCTCCATGTTTCCCTGCAGCCTGAGGCCCCCCAGTGAAGGCTGAAAGGCAGTGGCGTTTGGTTGGGTCTCCACAGGATGACCAAGGCCAGCACTCAACCCGGGGAGAGAAGCTCAGAGAATTGGTGAAGCTGAAAATCCCCGGCTTAACAAACAATTAGAGACGGTTAGGTTTAATCAGCAGCAAGGCCTTGATTTTCCTCTCTTCTCATCTGTTGTGGCCAGTATTTTGGACTCCACGGGCCAGATGCGGTTTAGCGGTTTATAATCAGTCTCCTCTATTTCCGAAATGGGAGAGAGAGAGGGAGAGAGAATGAGAGGAGCCATTCACACTCATGCGACATGCACAAGGGGTTACGCCAACACTCATGCATGCAGAGCCACACTCCTACCTAAACCAGGGGTCATGAGACCTGAGTTCAAGTCTATGGTACTAAAAAAAAAAAAATTGTACTGCACTGGGCATCAGAAAGGGCCTGGTCCCAGCAATGGCCAACCAAATGGAGTAATTTTGACTTGCCCACTTTTCAAACAGCCACATCTACCAGTCTTGACAGCGTGCAAGCCAGTTCTTATTACCAAGGAATGTGAGTAACAGACATCTTTGATGGTGAGAGTCAGGGTGGGATAAGGTGTGGAGATAGGCTCAGGGGTGCTGTGAAGCTCCAGAAAAGGCTGAGACTCAGGGAGGGAGGAGAGCATGACTGTAGGCAATACTTATTGTATAATATTCAGAGTCATCACAACTGTAAAGCTGAAATGTAATTGAATAGGGATGTAGAGAGGCTTACATGAGATAATAGATGCATATGTTTTAAATTTACTTATTATCTATTTATTTTTGTAGAGACAGGGTCTCACTCTCTTGCCCAGGCTGGCCTCGAACTCCTGAGCTGGTCTCGAACTCCTGGGCTCAGGTGATTCTCCTGCCTCAGCCTTCCAAAGAGGCTGGGATTACAAGCATGAGCCACTGTGCCTGGTTAGATAATAGATACTTTTTTTTTTTTTTTTTTTTTTTTTGGGTTGGGGTC